CGACTGGCTGTAAACTTTCTGCCTTAATTTACACTACTGTACGCAGGACCTGTAGACATGGATGTATGTTTCTGTATATACCCACCCAGTAATTACTGAGGCCAGCCTTTAATTTGTCTGAAATTGTGCAGGCATAATGAGGACGACCCACACATTTTTCCATTGGAAATTGTAAATGAATGACAAAGAGAGAACTCCGCCCTAATCCCCTCCCCACAACACTTCCTGGGAAGCTTATTCATAACTCTTTGTGCACCAGGATGGAATTGACACTGACGGGGGTTTTGATAACTGTTGCTCAGTTGATTTGACCAGTCCCACTCCAAGTGTGGTCCTTAGAGTAGTACGGGCCTGTAGTCGGCAAGGAAATTAATTCTAAAATTAAGGAAAAGTACTTAAAAATTTTAGAGGCATTTGGCAGATTAATTTTCTGTCTGTTGAATCTAATCATAAAATCTAAGGTTTTTTTTGTTTTGTTTTATTTTTTTGTAACAACCCAACGGTATTAAAATCTAGTAGGGCTCCTGTCTCTGGCCAGAATGAGATTGACTCTTTTTCTTTGGTAGATTTATCACCTACAGCAAAACCATCTTCAGATGTGCACAATGAAATAAGTGCTATTCAAATAATACTATGTTATTATTATCAAATATTAAATATCAAATATTAATAATAATATTTGAATAGCACTTAATAAGTATTTAAGCATGAAGTGATGTCTTGGTTTGGGGTCCCCTGGAAGCACACTCTGAGAGATGGATCTGAACAAGCTGCATATTTGGTAGAAGATTCCAGTGAGTACTAGTAGGGAAGTGGGGAAGAGAGACAGGGGCAAGGAAGCTAATAAAGTGTGTGTTTTCAAGTAGGTTACTGCCATAGGCAACTGGAACTCAATCCCACTGGGAGCTCATGGACTGGTATAAAACACGCTTCACAATGGCCCCACTCAAGGGGTGAGGGAGTTGGGGTATTCACTGACCGATGAGTGGAGTCTTAGGGGTTTACTGATTCCCCCAAGGTCACCAAACAGTTGACTGACAGGCACTCAGTCTGTTGACTCCCAGCACTTCCAGTCTTCTGTGCAAGCCCAATGGGTTCCACAGATGATGGGAAAAGGCATCAGGCAAAGACATGCGGGAGCTGCTGCTTGAAAGTTGGGATGGTTTGAACAGATATGGAAAGTGCTGAGGGGATGCTTGGGTTAGCAAAAGCACTGGACAACAGGTAGTTTGGACAGGTGGACTTACCCCAATTTATAGATAAGGAAACTGGGGTCCAGCTTAGCACTATAGTACAATGTGGAAGACAGTGGGGGAGTGAGAAGGATCTCTCCCCTTGACCACCCACTTTGGGTTCGCCCAGAGCCTCTTCTGCCACCTTTCTTTCCTGCCTTGTGGAATGGGTAGTTGGCAGAGACTGACTGGGTGCTCATACAGCCCATCTCTGCTTCCTGGACCCCTTGTCTGGACTTCATTTCCCAGCCTCCCTTGCAGAAGGATGTGTCATGTAGAAGAGCTGAGGAGAGTGACTAGAGGTGATGGACAGTATTTCGCTGCTGAACCCACAAAAAACTTTACAAGTTTTCTCCCTGCTTTCTACCTTTTGAACAGACTGGGATTGAAATGACCTCAGGGCATCCTAGAGAGTCACGCCTTGATGGTGGCAGAGCCACAAGATGGAAGGAGTCTGGGTCCCTGGGTTGTCACTTAGAGGTGGGCCACTTGGCTAGAAACATACTCTTTAGAGTTTTTTAAGGTTAAGTCACTGTGATTTTGAGGATTATTTGTTACAGTAACCAGCATCACCTTAAATAATGTAACATCATACATGTATGATCAAAAAACTTGTCTTTATATCACTTACCATAATCTCAGATTCTCCACTTATTTACTTATCCACCATCTCCCGTCCAAGAGGAGGGACTTTGATTTGTACACCACTGGATCCCTGGCATCTGGCATATGTATATGCTTAATAAATATTTGGCAAATGACTAAAGGCCAATGTATTAACTTGTCCAACAACTCCCAGCAAGCAAGTGAGAGAGTCAGGATTGGAGTCCAGGCCCACTGAACCCTCAAACTGTTAAGCATTCTGCACATTGCCTGACTATGTATGCCAGGTGCAGTGCTGGAACCTGGGCATGTAAGAAGGTTAGGTGCCTGTTAGGTTGCCCCTGAGGTCTACCTAACACGCAGCAGTTAGCACAGGGCTTATGTGTGGTGGGAAAAGCAGACCCGTCTTTGTTCTCATCCATGGATCAGGCTATCTTTTAGAAATGTTGAGCTTTGTGACTTACCCAACCTGAGCAAGGGCTCAGCTATAGAACCACTGGACTTAAGTTATCTTATGGACTATGAGATAACTGAGCAAAATACATAAAGCCAGATCCTCTTTGAACAATCTAAGCAAAGGCAGTGAGTCACAGAAAAGAATGGATCCAGCAGAACTTGGGATGAGTTAGGAGGAGAGGACAGCACAGGTGTTAGGTTTAAGAGCCTGGGCTTTGGTGATCAGACACTGCTGGCTTCAAGGAGCTCTGTCATTTACCAAGTGGTCTGACCTTGGGCAAGTTAGTTAACCTTGTTGGGCTTCTTTTCCTTATCTATAAACTGGATGTAATAATGCTGGTCTCCTGTGGTAAAATGATTAACACGGAGACACAAAGTGTGTGCTCAGAAGATAGTGGCTTGTATAGTACCTGTTCTTTAATCCCTGGTGTTAAGACAGAGAACTCTACTCTCTTGGCCACTAAGATATAAAGACTGAGGTGCTTGGGAGGCTACAATCATGGCGGTTACATGAACTGGGTCCCAAGAGAAAGCTATAGGCTGCCCTGGCCTCTCCTCTACTGTTCCCATATGCAGCCACTAGAGGGCCTTGGTCATCTCTGTTTAGCACTGTTGTGTTCAGATATGGCACCCAGGATGCCCAGTGAATTACTAGGGCTCTCTTTCCAGGGGAAGGCAAAAGAGCAGTGCACTCAAAGAGAACCATTTGAGTAGCTACTGAGGGGTCATATTTACAACGGCTGCAATGAGACTGCAGACATCTTACTCTGCTGCAGGCAAACCAGGCCCTTGAGCAGACGATCTACTGCCCACTGAGTGAACTGCCTGGGGTTGCCTTAGCACCAGCTTGGGGCCTTGTGTTGAATGAGATAAGGGTCTCCTTGTCTTATTAGACAACTGAGGCAGTGAGGTCTTGATTTCTGAAGATCACTCATTGGCCCACTAAAGCATTGGGACTGAAAATTAGCTCATCCTAATAGAGGTGGATTATAGTTTAGCAAATTTCCAGAGGTTTGGAACCATCTGATGATGCATGGGAGACCAGGGCATTCTCAGTAGCCAGAGTCCTGGAGCCCTCCCCTCCAATTCACCCCACCTTCCAACTCTCATTTCATTAGGTCAGCAAGGTCTGATATTAAAGCAAATGGCTCACATGGAAAGCATTGCTCACATCAGTCATTTTCACCGTAGTACAAAAGCTCTCTGTTCTCTTTGAGATTTCATTCTAAATACTTAACAAAAACACCGTAGACATGGCTCCATAACTTGCCACTCTTGTTCCTCTGCTCATCACCTTAAACTCCCAGTTTTCAGAAAACACCAAGTACTTTCCTATTTCCTTGCCTTTCTCCATACTATTTTCTTATTACAAATACACCCCACTTCCCCTTGCTCTTTTATGCTTTATAAAATCCCACTCCTTCATTAGAACCAACAGATACTTCCCTGGTTTCTGCCTCTATTTCTTCATAGTACTTTGTGCTTACCCTTAACAGAACACATCAGAGGGTTTTGTCCTATACATATTTGTCTCCTCATCATCCAGTTGAGCTGTTCATGTGAATAATCTCCAGCCTTTGCTTGAATACCTGTCCTGACAGGATACTCACAACCTCAAAGGCAATGCATTCCATTGCCAGCCAATTATCTTGGTGAAAACGTTTCCTCATTATTAGAAACCAAATCTATTTGCCTGATACATGGACCCACTGATTCTCCTTACTAGTTCAGTTCATCTGTAGCATAAAATTGCTTCAGATGTGAATAAGGCTTCTCATTCCATGATTAGACACAGATCTTAAATATAAATATTCTGAGAATGGGCAATACCTTCTAAGGTGTAAATAATTCATTGTAAGGTGTAAATGGCTGGGCATGGTGGCTCATGCTTGTAATCCCAGCGCTTTGGGAGGCCAAGGCAGGCAGATCACTTGAGGCCAGGAGTTCGAGACCAGTCTGGCCAACATGGTGAAACCTTGTCTCTCCTAAAAATACAAGAGTTCGCCGGGCATAGTGGCACATGCCTGTAATCCCAGCTACTTGGGAGGCTGAGGCATGAGAATGGCTTGAACTCAGGAGGTGGAAGTTGTGGTGAGTCCAGATCACGCCACTGCACTCCAGCTTGGGGCACAGAGTGAGACTGTCTCCAAAAAAAAAAAAAAAAAAGTGTAAATGACTGGTAAAAAGTTTTCCGTAAGAATAGAATTGTACAGGATAACTTCTGTACAATTAATGGTGGGGTTAGGAATACCAAAGATATGAGGAATATAAGGACTTCAAAAATGTGCTACAGTAGAAAGAATACTAGAAGAGGAAATGAAAGATGGGTCCAATGTCTTTATGTTTCCTGAGCTTTGGTTTTCTCATTGGGAAAAGGAATACTTAGCATGATAAGTAGTTCTACTTATAACTGTAATTGCAGAATTTTCTGTGGAAGTGGCCCTGCTCATCTGGGCTGTCTTAAGCTTGGCTTCCTTAGGTCTGGGCGGGCAAAAAGTCACACATGTGTCAATGGGCCTCAGCCTCCTGGGGGTTGGGTAGACATTCTTGGTGCCAAAGATACCATGACTTACACCACCCACAATCATGTTAATCACTGAATGAGCCTTTTATTCCCACCTGGGTTGCAATTTTCTTTCCCCTACCTTGAAGTTTTGCTTCACACGGGCTATTTATCACATTTGTATCATAAATGAAGGATGCAGGTAACACATTTTATTATGATTTTATTATATACTCTCTTTGACTAGAATTTTGCAAAGTAAAATATTGAATAAGAACCAACTTCATTTTTCCTAAGTTCCACTCTATAGGACCAGGTCATATTAACAATTGCTTGACGCATAATAATCCATGACTCAATAAATACTTTACAAAAATAATGCAGTTTTTTTTTCTTTTCTTAAAACATAAAAATTAAGATTCCCCAGATTGACCCTCCCCCTCTTTTATATTTATTTATTGGGAATATATTGGTGGAGGAAAAAAATTGTTAAAATAGTATTAAAATAGGTGAAATGAGGTCCATTATCTTTTTCCCATTTGTTTTGTTGTTTTCCTTTGGAAAAGTGCTACTTCCTGTTTTCACGTCTGAACTTGGCTGCAGTCTTCTGAACCTAAGACATGAGCAGAAATTCTACTGTTTTGGGCCATTTAGCAGAATAATAGCATTATGATAATACTGCCCTTTTATTTTAAAGCCTATTTAAAATCAGTCCTCAGCCTCAGCTTTGTCCCTAAAATACCATATTCCCTACCCAGTCCGAAGAAGAGACTTTTGGAATCTGAGACTCCAGCAAGGTGCCTCATGACTAAATAACATTTGGTTTAAGGTGGGCGTTTACATGTTTTGATATATTTCTATTGCATTATTTTTAAAGAAATAAATTCCAAAATTCCCTTTCTCTTCCACTTCCCTAAGTCTCTTTCTTTCTGATCTCTCACAGAAGAGATTAGTTTCACCACAACTCCAGAGAAAAGGTTACGCTTAAATCACATTTGTATTAAATAAGTTATATATAAAAACTCCTTATAATGTTTACAACCTCAGTCTCTTTCCCCCTTAGCCTCTCTTGGAAACTCTGGATCAGGGTGTGAATTGAGTCGCACCCACTGTGGCTTCCAGGTTCTTCTTCTGGCTTCCAAGTGGTCCCCATTCTTCTGCCCACATCGCTCCCCAGGGGTACTTTCAAGGAACTCTGCAGATGGCGAGGGCGGCTTCACAAGGCAGTCCCCGGGCGTGGCGCACGCCCCTAGCGTAATGTATGAGAAATACTCATGTGGTATAAACAAATATACACGACCGCGGCTAAGAAGGTCTCGACGCCAGTCAGCAAGGTGAGTGCGGCGCGTGTGCGCTGCAGAACCAGAGGTGGCGTCCTCCACCTCGTCCCAGTCTCTTTAATACTCCCTGGCCTCTTGGAACTGCTTCATGTAGTCCTCATCCGAGGGGCTCTCTGTGCACTTCTGTCCGTTGTTGGGAGGCCGAGCCTCGTTATACCTGCTCCAGTCACCCTTGCAGATAATCCAGGGCAGGACGTCCACCTTGTAGTGGAGCTCCGCGGAGAACTCGGTGCTGATGAGGTTGGGCGTGCCCGCCCCCTTGCCCCTGGTGATGAGCTGCATGTTGTCACCGTAGCAGCAGTGCTGCGCCGCCAGCGTGGTGCTCTCCAGGGACAGCATGGAGCGGATGCAGTACCGGGCCGTGGGCTTGTAGATCTCCAGCTTCTCCTTGGGCCCACTGGCGTCCTTCCAGCGGAAGTCCTTGCGCTTGATGCGGTCGAAGATGTCAGCCGTGCTGTAGGCTACCTCAGTGGGGTAGGAGCAGGGGCAGCTGGGCAGGTCATTCATCACCTTGTGCATGTACTTCTTTAAGAACTCGCTTTTGCAGCTCATCCAGCGCTCACAGCTGTCTGTGTCTGGAAAAGGCCAAAGAGAAATCCTCTCACCGCATGCACAACCGGCCCACAGGAGGTGCTTCAAGGGGCATGTTACAGCAGGCTGCTCCTCACGGCCCGCAGGAGGACACTAAAGTCAACAGCTAGCTAAAGTCAACAACTCCTCTCCTAGAGCCACAGACCCCTGCAGCCCTCTGGAACCATCAGAGGTGGATGGCCGTTCTCACTTCCCTTGAACTTGGGAACTTCATTATTCACAAGACTTCCTCCAAATGCCCCACTTTATATTATAAAATTTGCAGACACACAGAAAAGTAGAGAATATTCTTATACAATGACTACCCACATTTCATCACCTGGATTTAACTATCATTATATTTGCTTTATCTTTTGAAAACATTTTGTGGAAATACATAATGTTACCCCTAAATTTTAGTAAGCATCTACAAAAAAGAGGATATTTTCCTAGATAATCATGACCCGCTTCACTCCTAACAAACTTAAGAATTCAGAATTATTTGAATCTCCCCTCTAAATAAGTGATAAGGCCAGGCATGGTGGCACATGCCTATAATCCCAGCACTTTGGGAGGCTGAGGCGGGCAGATCATCTTAAAACACTGAGGTCAGGAGTTTGAGACCAGCCTGACCAACAAGATGAAACCCCGTCTCTACTAAAATTACAAAATATTAGCCAGGCATTGTGGCACGTGCCTGTAATCCTAGCTACTCAGGAGGCTGAGGCAGGAGAATCGCTTGAACCTGGGAGGCAGAGGTTGCAGTGAGCTGAGATTGCGCCACTGCACTCCAGCCTGAGCAATAGAGCAAGACTCTGTCTCAATAAATAAATAAATAAATAATAAAAATAAAAAATAAAAATATAAAGAAATAAGTGATGATGTGACAGAAAAGGCCCCAAAGGAAGATTTGTAGGACTCAGTTTTGATTTTGCCACACACGGACTGGTTCCCCCAACCTCTTAACCTTAGGCATGTAACTATCACTGTCTGCAAATTCACAGGGCAAGGTGCCTCAAAGAGGAAGGAGCCCGGGGCACTTGCTTTTAGGGATCTTAAGATTTGGGTCACAGGCCAGTGACCTGTAGGCCTGGGTCAAAATGTACCCCCAGAGGGGTTGTGTTTGGTTCTTTCAGTATTAAAAATAGTTGATTAGTTGTCAATATTTAAGAATTAGTTATTTCAATTATAAATGTGGATCTGTGGTTTTATCTGAAAAACCATAAGATTGATCTATGCTGGTCCTGCATTCTCCCATGGGAACAACTGATCCTGCGAACAGGTGAATGGTGACCCCTCCATGGACAGGGTCGAAGGTCCCCAGCTCAGCACCACTCCTACTTGATCCTTTCATTTATGGGTGATCTCTCAGTTCCTCAGTCATCTGATTCCAGGACCTCAGGTTTAGTGTCCTAGTTTGGGTTACCCTAGACCCTGAGACAAAAAGATTCCAGTGAAAATGATTTTTTGGGGAAGTGATTTCAGGAAACAGAGGCAGGGGAATTAGACAGAGAAGAGACAGCAGTTAATACAGGGTGTGGAGCAAACAAGTAACCACTGTAAGGAACTGGTTACTCCCACTGGGATCTGGGAAACCTCATCCCTCAGCATTTTCCTATCTGAAACAATGTTAAACTTTACCCAAGTCCTGTGATCCTAGAAACAGTGAAGATTAGGAGTCCCCCAGCCCTTCTGCATTCTGGAAAACAGCTTACTGCAGAGAACCCCCTTTCCCCATAGGACTTAGAAAAGACTCACGGACGTCTGCTTTGTTCACCTGTGACAAGGCCAGAAGCACAAATTCCCTTTCTTTGCCTCAAAAACTGCTTGTCCTCATGATTAATCAGGAGAAAATGCATCTTTTTTTGGTGGGGTGGGGAGGGTTGCAGATGGAGTCTCACTCTGTCACCCAGGCTAGAGTGCAGTGGCACTATCTTGGCTCACTGCAACCTCTGCTGCCCTGCTTCAAGCAATTCTCCTGCCTCAGCCTCCCAAGTAGATGGGAATACAGACACCTGACATTGTACCCGGCTAATTTTTGCATTTTTAGTAGAGACAGGGTTTCACCATGTTGGCCAGGTTGGTCTTGAACTCCTGATCTCATGATCCATCTGCCTCGGACTCCCAAAGTGCTGGGATTACAGGTGTGAGCCACTGCGCCTGGCTGACAAAATGCATCTTAACCAAACTTTGATGAAGCTTCTCTCCTTCACCCAGGTCCCAGGACTTTGGCCCACTCTCAGCCTAAACCAGCACAGCCTCTCCTGAAGGATCCCTTTTGGAAAGAGGCTGGCTTCAGGGTAGAGCATTCTCCAATCTACTATCTGATCACGCCACCCTTTCATCTCGCTTTCCCTTACTTACTTCTCTATAAAAGGAAATGCTCCTTGCCTAACCCTTGAGATGCTTGCAGACCTTCTGGTCACATCGTTCATCCCACTGCAGTAATACGGAGATAACATCCCCCACCTCCCTGCAATAATCCTTTGAATAAAGCCTCTCCTTACTGAGTCCAGATTTGTTTTTATTGACGGGGATCTGAGTTTTTATCCACCGGCTCCCATTCATCACCGACAGGGGACTGGTCCTGGACTTCCAGCTAGGAATGCCCTGTGCAATCATGCGCAGCTGGGCTCAGGACCGGAGAAAAACTTCAGGCAAAGGCACACAGGGGTTGTCAGTTAGAGGTGCGAGGACATGCTGTGGGTGGAGGGAATGTGGGCTGGTCACCGGCAGCCCAGTGAGTGGGCAGGTCATCTGCCCCAGTGAGCTGCGGTGGGTAAGATGAGGCATATCTAAGGCAGCCAACAGTGGTGGAATGTGAGGTGCGTTAAAGGAGGCAAAGGCAAAAAGCCCCAGGGGTGTCCAAAAATGCAAGGTCATTTCTAGCAGGGGAAGTCAGGGTTGCTTCAAGGAGCATGTGACACCAAGTTGCTCCTAGGCCATGTCAGGGCTATGTGACAGCCACAAGTGTCCCGCTCAGAGCTCCGATAAGGGAACCTGCTGTGGGTGCTTTGCTGACTGGCAGCCTCCAGGTTGCACCTTTGGATCTATCATGATTTTAACATCAAGGCCCTATCTGCCCTCTGGCTGCTCTCGGCCAATGACTGAGCATGGTAGGGGAACCGCCCGAGGGTCTCCTCCAACAGGCAACTTTGCTGGGATTCCCCATCAGCATGGCTGAGCCTGCCTTGCTTTCTTTTGTAAGAGTCAGGCCTGCACCTTGGTCCGAAAGCTCTCCCTGCCTAGTCCTGCTGCCTTGCTCTTTATCTTTTCTGGGCGTCGCCTCAAAAAATCTCCTGCATGTCTAATCCCATCATGGTGTCTGGGTCTTGGAGATGTCTCATGGACACAGACTACAATAGAATAGATGGAGGAAGGGCAAGGGAAGGCTCTCCAGGTAAGCGTTCATGGTGCAAACTAAGGTTATGCAGGAAAAAATCTGCTGGGGATGTCTGGGGCTGAGGCATGACATGTTCAGTTTCATGGCAGCAGAAGGTATAGGAATATAAGATTGTTGGTGTCAGATCATGGTGGTCTTGTTCAGTTTAGGCTGGTTCAGAGGGTACTAGGGAGCCATGGAAAGTTTGTAAATGATAGTGAGCTATTAACTGAGCTGTGCAGTCAGAAAATGAATTCAGAGCCGATAATGATGGGGAGGGTCCAGGTGAGATACTCTGGGAGGAAACAGCAGGTGGGATCAGAAGAGGTCAGAGAGTTACAGCTGCCAGGCCTTGGTGGCTGGTGGACTTTGGAGTAAAGAGAGGAAGACATCAGCAGTGACTCCAGCTCTGATCCAGGAGCCTGGGAGGCTGGTGGTGTTGTGGGTGGAAATCACACGGTCAGGATGAGGGGCAGCTTGCAAGAGGGCTTTGAGCACTTGTCAGTGAAATGAGAAAGAGAAAAATGGGGCATGTCTTATGAACTCAGAAAGGCCTGGTGAAAGGCAAAGTGTGGGAGTGCATGCTGAACAGCCCGGGATTGAATTGCAATTCAACTTTCAGGAGCTCTGCGACTTGAGGGAGGTATTTTACCTTGCTGTGCTTCAGTTTTCTCATCTCTAATTTGGGCATAAAAATAGCACTTCTCTCAGAAAGTTGCAGAGAGGATTAAGTGGGAGGGAACCTAGAGGGTGCACCCAACAGTGTCTAGGTGCTGCCAGCTGGGATAGGCTGTGGCTGTGGCCTCCTCTCTGAGCAGTCATTGACAAAATGAAAGTTCAATCCTTCTGCTCTGCTTGTACCTTTGCAAGCAGTCCCTCACCAAAGGCTCCTCAGTTACCTAACTTGAGTGTGCCATGTTCTTTCCTGCCTGGACCCTGACTGAGACACCATGTCTACTCAGCTCTGGTGTCCTTAGCCACATGCCAATGTGGCCTTGTGCATCTGGAATGTGTTCCGCAAAACAGCTAGATGCCGCCTGCCTGTGGGGTGTGATATGAAGAGGCCTGAGAAACTTTCTGCCTCAGAAGAATGCCTTTAAGGTTCCACCACTTTATGTCAAAGTCTTGCCTTTAAAGTCGTTTCTATTTTTCAATCAAATGTATTGTATTTGCAGACGGTTCCTGTTAAATGCATTTGATCATATGTATGTGAAGGGATTGGAGGGGTGAGGTAAAGGCCCTCATGACACTGAATTTCCAAACTGCATCCAGTTTGGCTCATAGACATTTCTGATTAGGTTTGTTTTTAGAATAAATTTCTATCAAGCATTAAAAAAATAAGATATAATCTGGCAAAATCAAGATTTCAGGTCTCTCTTAGAAACCCAGAACACCTGGCAATACTGGGTGGGTGTTCATTCCATAGTGACCACATCACGGCCGACCCTTGGATAAAGCTCTTCATTTTGTCACAGACTGTACCATTCTCTACTGCCCCCGACACTGTAGCCCCTTCCCCTTCCCTTCCCTTCCCTTCCCTTTCCCTCCCTTTCCCTCCCCTGCCCTCCCCTCCCCTCCCCTTCCCTTTCTGAGATGGAGTTTTGCTCTTGTTGCCTAGGCTGGAGTGCAGTGGCACCATCTTGGCTCACTGCAACCTCTGCCTCCTGGATTCAATGATTCTCCTGCCTCAGCCTCCAGAGTAGCTGGGGTTACAGGCGCCTGCCACCATGCCCAGCTAATTTTTGTATTTTCAGTAGAGATGGGGTTTCACCACGTTGGCCAGGCTGGTCTCGAACTTCTGGCCTCAGGTGATCCACCTGCCTTGGCCTCCCAAAGTGCGGGATTACAGGTGTGAGTCACTGTGCCCAGACTCATTTTCTTTTCATCATAGTGCTAGAACCATTATTTTCCTCCAGACTTTCTTTTTGTCTTTCCTTTTATTCTAGATTTGTTCTACTTGGATGCTTACCTGACCCCATTACCTGACCCCAATAGGCATTTGAGGAACATTTTTTGTTCACCAAATCAGCTCCCAAATAGCTGGGCTATGGAAAAAAAAGACTCAGGACTGCTAAATTTTGGTTGAGGAGGCAGGCCAAAATTTAGAGGCTAAGTAAGAACTTTTGGGTGGCTAAAAGATATGGGGTAGAAGGAATTTTACCCTTCTACAATCCTTAAGTATATAGAGAAGCACATGAAGCTAGTTTTAAAAAGTAAGCTTGCACCTTGCTCCTGAAGAGTCACTTTCCATTTTGTTTGCTTCACATTTATTGCATTTGCTCTAGCATTTTCTAGTGGACAAATAGCAGAATGTACCAAAGGTTTATGAAAAATTCTTGCAGGGGATGGAGGTGCAACATTTTGAGAAAATTCCCTCTTCTCCTCCCTCCCTCCCTCTGCTGGAGAACTGAGGACACCATTTCTTGATTTTCTTGAGGACGCCCAATGAAGGCTGACTAAGAACAGATTCCATGTGACTTGAGCCCCTGCTATGGGCTTATTCTGTGCTAAGAGGAGAGATGGGTCCCCATCTGCCTCTGGCTGTGAAGACTGCATGGAGAGCAGAGTGAACCCAGAAGCACTCAGTCCGGTGGAGGAGGCTCAGGACTGTTTTCTCTTGCTTGAAGTATATTCAGCAAGCAAGACACATGCTGGGAGCACTGGACCCCAGAAAAGCAAAATGAAACATTTACGTGGATCCAAGGATGGCACTGTAAAGGCAAAAGGAATCTCCGAGGCACTAAGTCAATATTTGGATTAAAAAAGAAAAAAATCTTCTTACCAACTTCAAACAGTTTGGTGGCATTAAACTCCTCGCTTCCCGCAAGCAGACTTACTTCGGTGGCAGCTGTCCTAAAAGTGTCTTCAATTCCTAAACACAGACAAGAGCTCATTTTTCCATCATTATATGGAAAGTTATCTCCCCCCCAACAATAACAAAATAAATACACCTGAACAAAGCCTTTTTTGTATTCATTACTACTCACGGGCAGAAACTTGCCAACAGAGGAAACAGTAAAAAGCAGGTAGTAGTGCAGAAACTGTATTAAAACCCAAGATACATTGGCAGCTTGAAATCAGATCCAAATGTGCCTGAATGAGTCCTTAGGAACTCACTCACTGGGCCCGTGGATGGGGATTTGGGCAGTGGGGGACACATGCCAGGATGGTGTCAGGGTGACGAACTAAACCAGAGGCAATAGAACGTAGTGGTTAATATCTTGTTCTTAATGACTGACTGTGAGAGTTGAAATCATTACTAGCCATGTGACCTTGGGGTAGCCAGTAAACTTTTGTGTGCCTCAGTTTTTACATTTGTACATGGGGAGAACAAATTGCCCTACCTCCTAGAGTTGAAATAATGAAATGAGTTGGTATAAAGAAAGTACTTAGAGCAGTAAGTGGGAAGTGTTAGGTGATAGTTTTCCCTTGAATATCTGTCTTGCTCATTCTTCGTCTAGCTCACTGAGGATGCTACAATGCATAGCCAAGAAGAGTTAGGTCATATTCTAGGACATTTAGCATTGTTGATGATGCTTCAGAAAGAAAAAGCTGGGCTTCCCATAATTTGCTCTGAGGAACTGAACCCAGCTGTACTGAAACTTACTGGCTCACCCAAAGGGTCACCCCTAACCAAGCTTCCTTTACAAGCAGGAATCCGGTGCAAGCTAAAGCAATAAGAAGAGGAGAGAGTGAGGTGCTGCAGTAACATTTGCTGGTGAGCCTTGGCCTTCCCTGCTGGTTTCCCTGACTTGATTTCCATTAAGGAGCTCTCTCTGATTTTATGTGAGGCACCTCAAACTCATCTGCAGGGTTGACCTACAGGACACACTTTTACAGTGTAATAACTGCCAGGCCAGGGAGACTTTGTTCCATGAGTCTTTCCAGGAAAGCTGGAAATCAACGAATCAAACAAGGAAAGAGATCCTGAGAAAGGAAATCCTTCATGTTCCAAGGGAGCCCAGAAAAGCTGCAATAGCCAGGGACTGAGAGGCAGAAAGGATGGAAGGAGGGTGAGGACAGACGAGAAGAAAAGGTATGAAGAGGGCTCCTGGTCACACTGCTCTCTGCGGTGACAGAAAACAGGAAGGAAACATTTGTAAATGGAGGCAGAGGGGAGCCTTCCCCTGACAAGGCACCTAAATCTACCACTTTGAGTCTGGATGGGAGCTCTGGAAGAGAAAACAACAGGCAAGCCCCCAAACCTTGACTTCAAATGCTGTCTGTGTCCAATGACAGCATTGGCTGATTCCAATACCCTTCTCTTGGCAAAGACCAAAGAGTTTAATGATTAAGAATATTAACTGTGTAATCAGACTGTCCGGATTCAAATTCCAGGTTGATCACTTGCTGTCTGTGTGACTCTAGGCAAGTTAATCCTCTATGCCTCAGTTTCTACAGCTGTCAAATGGATACAATTGTAAATACCTATTTCATAAAGTTATTGTGAAAACTAAACAAAATAATACCTATAAGGGCTTTAGCCATTTGCTTGATACTTAAGTACTCAAAATATCTTCTTCATCATCATCTATTTTTTTTCTTCTTCATCTTTATTGTCATTTTCTTTTGCCTCATATTTTTACCTTCATCATCATCTTCTTTTACTTCACATTCTTCTTCTCTTTTTCATTTCCTTCCTGTTTCCCTCTCCGTCCTCCTCATATTGTTATTATTTATTGCTTTTTTCTACACATCCAGATTCCACCCACCAGGCTTCCAGCTCAGCTCATCCTAATGAGCATGGGAATGTCAGGAAAAGCACCGTAATGGTTGCTCCACTGTTTTGAAATCCTGACATGGATTTAATGTATCGGTAATCTATTGCTACATGGAACAAAGTATCCCAAAGTTGGTGGCTTAAAACAACAACTGTTTATTATTTATCATGATCTTGTGGCTCAAGAGTTCAGGCAGGTCCACTGGGTAGGTACTGTGCTCCTGATGGCATGGCTGACATGGAGCCAGAACTGCCACTTCTTGCATTTCAGCCCCATTTTCTACATGTCCCCTTTTGCTAACATACACATTCATTCCAATCTGATTCTTCCTCCCTCTCCTCAGAAACGCCTTTGTGGTTTCATTTGTCCTTTGTTCCAAATGTCTCTGGTTGGAGAACAGAGTGTCTAGAGGTACAAAAAGGAAGTCTGGGGTGCGGGGATCAGATTTTCTGTCTCTGAAATTTTTTTCAGCCAAAGCCATTTGGAATGTGTGGTTTCTTGAAAGGCTCTAAGATATTATTTTAGGCTGGTATTCTACCTGGCAATGGGAAATACACAGTAAGACTATACACCAGGAGTTACTAAGCTTTTTGGTTAAGGGTCAGAGGGCAAATATTTTAGGTTTTGTGGGTCACATATGGTCTTGGTTGTAGCTTCCTCCTCCTCTTCCTCCTCCTTCCCTCCTCCTCCTTTTTCTCCTCCTCCTCCTCCTTCTCTTCCTCCATGCCCTTCTCCTTCTATTCTTCTTCCTCCTTCTTCTCTTTCTTATTCTCTTTACAACACTTTAAAAATGTATGGGACACACAAAAACAGTTCTCAAGCTAGACCTGGCCATAGTTTGACAACCACTGCTATAGTCAATCACAATTATTGTTGACTCTCAACATGACCTCTCACCAAGTGTGCAATTAGTTTAGTTTTTGAAGCACTGACAATGCAGTATAAAGTGATAGTTGACTACCAAGATGCCCCAGGTTGTGCTCCTGGGAGCCTTTGGCAACTCTCTGATATTACCGATGGAGCTGTGTCTTTTTCCTGTAGATGGCTGTCAAGCCTCTCATCCTGGCTTCCTCATCAGACCATGAGTGTCTGCCTTCTGTTTCTCTTCAAGGCACAACAAATCCCACATCAAAAACCCAATCTAACCAGAGTCCCTCCTCTAAATTAAATAAGTACAATGCGGCATTGTCTTTTAGGTCACGGCCACTGCAATTGTGCATAAGACTCAGAAAATCCATTCAGCTCATCAATTATCTCCTGACTCACTCTGGTCAGAAGTCTTATTAGAAAAGTGGTTACATCTTGGCTCACGCCTATAATCCCAGCACTTTGGGAGGCCGAGGCAGGCAGATCACAAGATCAGGAATTTGAGACCAGCCTGGCCAACATGGTGAAACGCCTTCTCTACTTAAAAAAAATACAAAAATTAGCTGGCCATGGTGGCGTGTGCCTGTAATCCCAGCTACTTAGGAGGCTGAGGCAGGAGAATTGCTTGAACCCAGGAGGTGGAGGTTGCAGTGAGCCAAGATTGTGCCACTGCACTCCAGCCTGGGTGACAGACAGAGACTCCATCTCAAAAACAAACAAACAAACAAAAACAACAACAACAACAAAAAGAAAAGTAGTTACATCTTTTAAAAAGACAATTTTACTAAGTTTTTAATAATAAATTAAAAAGCTTTCCCCTTGAACTTGGAGCTACACACTCAGGTAAACGCACCTGGACAGTTTGGATGGTCACAGGTCCTCGATTCCGTTGCAGTGCATGCGTAGCCACAAGACCGGGTCCGTTTCTGGTTGCCGTTCCCACAGGTGACACTACAGACAGACCAGAGACTCCAGTCACCCTCACCATCTGTGGAATCTGGAAGAGAGCCAGGGAGATGCTCGTCAACTTTGGCCAAAGAGTCTCCCAATCTCCCCATCAAGCAGCCTGTCAATTATTCACCTCTATCATTCTTGCTGTGGGAGGGGGTTGCTGGAGAGGACTTTTAAGCTGGAGCTAAAAGGTTTATGGCTCCAGGGCTCATTTAGGAATCAGCTTTGTGACAGCAAGGAGGTTTTGGGCACTGTGGTGATCTGTACATCCCTAGAAGGTGCCCAGAAAATGCTTACTGAGAATGCATACATTTGCACAGCATGGGATAATATGCTAGGCAGATTCCAAGGGTAACCACCCTCAGTTCCTTCCCTCTCTGTGCTTATAGCTTTTCATTGACATACAGAGAGAAAGAGAGAGAGAGAGGAGAACCTATTTTCTCTAGAATCTGGGCTGGCCTTGACCTTAAGGCCTGGCAGCTTCTGGCTTTTGCTGTGGGGAATCCAGTTACTGTGAAAGAGGCTCATCCCAGACCTGTGAATTACGGGGCATCACGTGGAAAGAAAGGAACCACATGAAGGACCACGGAGACACCACACATGTGAGCAAAGCCTTCTCAAGCCTTCTGGCCATTCCCAGTGGACAGCTGAATGCAGCTGGTGCCATTAGGAGCACAGTACCTACCCAGTGGCCCTGCCTGAACTCTGGAGCCACAGGATCATGATAAATAATAAATGGTTGTTGTTTTAAGCCACCAACTTTGGGATACTTTGTTCCATGTAGCAATAGATTACCGATACATTAATGGTGAAGCTAGAAATCATCCCTCAAGGTCATTACTCAACATCCATCCAATGAATACCTATTGAACCCTTTTTGTATGTCAGGCACAATTCTAGGTATATGAGATACACTATTAAGTACAACTTTCAAAGATCCCTGCCCTGAAGGAACTAATATTTTACTGAGAAAAGAGAAACACTCATCAATAAACACATAAAATAAGTGAATTAGATGGCATGTTAGAAATTGATGAGTGCTGTGCAAAAAGGAAAAGTAGGCCAAGAAATAGGGGCCTTGGGGATGAGAGGTGTGGGAGAGGTTGGTACCCTATTGATATGGTTTGGCTCTGTCTCCCTGTCTCCCCACCCAAATCTCACCTTGAATTGTAATAATTCCTATGTGTCAAGAGCAGGGCCAGCTGGAGATAACTAAATCATGGGGGCAGTTTCCCCATGTTGTTTTCGTGGCGGTGAATAAGTCTCACGAGATCTGATGGTTTTATAAATGAGAGTTCCCCTGCACAAGCTTTCTCTTGCCTGTCACCATGTAAGACATCCGTTTGCTCTTCCTTTGCTTTCCGCCATGATTGTGAGGTCTCCCCAGCCATGTGCAACTATGAGTCCATTAAATCTCTTTCTTTTATAAATTACCCAGTCTCGGGTATGTCTTTATGAGCAGTATGAGAACAGACTAATACACCTATCAAACTGAGTTCCTCTTACCAAAAGTAAAGTCCTGGAGTGGTAGGATGCCTGGTTCAAGGTCATTGGTTGACAGAAGGGAAAGTAGGGCTCTAGCACCAAGCCCTTCTCTCTAAAGCATGATTCTTTCTGCAGTACCTCTGCTCTGCGACAGTTTCTCCTGGTTTACCCCGATCTTCCTATGGCCTTGGGGCCTCTGCTGGTGCCAAGTGTGGAGCTAAAGGCATGCCCCTTGCCGGGAGGGAGTGCCCTCTGTTCATAGCAGATTGTGGCGATTGTTATTACATAGGCCTGGCAGGAATGTAGTCCACACATGCTTCTACCTGAACTGTGGGCCCGTGCCAGCCTTCCAGGCTGTTGTTTACGTGGCGTTCACTCTGAACATGCCTCAGGCAAACACAGAGCTGCGGAGCCTCCTCAGTCCACTAAGCGGAATTGGAGAAGCGGGGTGGTGGGGGGTGGATTTCATGGTTGTGTCCTCCTCCCTAACTCTGAGTGGAGAGCTTGCTCCCATCTCATCTGCCCCTGGGGCCCCATCTATTTTCCTCCGGATCCCCAAAAAAAAATTTTTCTGAACTTTGATTTTTCTCCTAAGAAATGGTTTTCCAACCACACAGCTAAGCAGATATTTGAAACTACTGCTCTGTGTCAGGAAATTGGGTTGCCTTCCCTGGCATTAGCTTCTTTCACCTCCACCATCTCTTATTAGGCATCACACAGAAGGACTGGAGAGATAAGTTGCTTCTGGATGGAGAAACCACTGCGGTAGGGGCAGTCACTGCTCCCACTGAGAACTTTGCAGTCCAGTGTCTCTCTGTCACCTCCCTAAGAGCACCAGAGAGGTGCCTGGAACAAGCACACAATTGCACACTTGTCAGAGAAGCATCCAGGTGAAGCGGGTCATACGCACATGAGCACACACCCAGTCACATCCTGCACGCACCACCAAGGCCAGATTTTGTTAAAGGGAATAACAGCTAAAAAAAGTCAAAAGTAAAGATTATAATGTTTTTTATTCATAAAAACGGGGAAGTGAGTAAGTCAGAAGAAGTCTTATTAAATCCCCTAGGGAGAGTTTGCATCACCCGTGGGGTGGGTACTAGCATAAGACATAACCCAATGATGCCAAATGGTGTCCTTGGCTTTGCAAAAGCAAAGGGACCTCTACTATCCAGAAATCTCATGGAGCCTTGGCTCTCCATTATCGCAATTAGCAAATTTGGAGAGACATCACCCCTGAGTTTTGAGATTTTAGCATTAAACTCTCTATAAGACTCGTGTTGGAATCCCTGCATGAGGTGATTTCTTGTTATAGTTTCTTGGATCTAAATTATTAAACATTAATATTGTGTCAGATTATGTGAAAAATCACGCCCATAATTCCTCTTTCCAAATCCATTCCCTTGGCTACTCCCCTCTCAGGCTGATTCCAGGATGGGCCACGTGACCTGCTTTGGCCAATGGGATAATAGCAAATAGGATGCCAGCTGAGGTATACAAAGTGCCCATGCATTCCCTCTTGCTGCAGGGAACTCTTCCACCAAGCGTGAAGGGCCTAGGCTAGCCTCCTGGAGTGAGAGGGACCAGTGGAGAGAGGCCCCAGCCATCTCAACACAGCATCTACACAACTGGGCACCCCTCATTGTGAGTGACGCCAGCCTAAACCATCCAGCCCCAGCCAAGCCAGACCAGACCAGACCAGACCAGAAGAATCCAGACAACCCACGGACTCGTGAGAGAGAGAACTCTTTTGTTCCTTTAATTTTGCGGGTGGCTTTTCTTTCGTCCCCCCACCCACCCCCCCTTTTTTTTTTGGCTGTTTCGGAGTTTCACTCTGTCACCTAGGCTGGAGTACAGTGGCATCATCATGGCTCACTGCAGCCCTGAACTCCTCAGCTCAAGCAATCCTCTTGCCTCAGCCTCCTGAGTAGCTGGGACTACAGGCATGTGCCAACATGCCTGGCCAAGGTTTTCAAAAAATTTTTGTAGAGATGAGGTTGTTGTCCAGGCTAGTCTTGAAATCCTGGCCTCAGGCAATCCTCCTGCCTTGGCCTCCCAAAGTGCTGGGATTACAGACATGCGTCACCATGCCTGGCCTGGGGGTGGTTTTCTAAGCAGCAAAAGCTAACTGTTACAAATACCCCATAAAATCCTCCCTAAAATATGCTCTCTAGACAGCTGCCAGACTCTGAAGCCATTAAGGATTTATGATTGCAGTAATTGGCTTTCTCCATGTCTTTATTTTAAATGCTCACAAAGCCATTTTATTTCCAAACTTTTTTTTTCATATGGGTCCCCCAAAGTTAGGCATGGAACTCGCCATGTGGTTAATTATTTCTATTGAGGCTGGCAATGAAGTGAAACTGCCTCCTAGGAAGAAGTGTGTATGTGAGCTCACTCCCCTGAAGCTTTCACAGCACATGGGCCCACATCAACATCCCAGCAAAGACCCTCCTCTTGGGGATTTCTATTTGTTTAATGTCTTCAAAGAACAGAAAGGGAATTTCTGACAGGTACGAATCATTGAGGGCAGTGCTCCTTTCTGCTATAATAAAACAAGCCTGTTCTCAGTTGCTCACCTACCAGGGGCCACTGCTCAGAGCAGAAAATCAATGTGAGCAGCTATAATCGCAAATATAATGACAATGGCGGGAAAAAAACAGTTCCTGGGAGCATTTATATGGTGCTTTGACAGCCAGTGGCTGTGACATCAAATAACTCAAGGGGGAAACAAAACTATCCCGAGTGCAGTGGGCTGAGAGCTGGGTTTCAAGGATGCCGCTGGAGTTTTAAAGTAGTCCTTTCATAGTTTCAGGGCACTAGAGTTCTGTGGGCCAGTCACAGTGGTGGGGCAACTGAAGTGACTTGGGTCTTGACTTGGCCACTAGTAAACCTGCACCATTAATCCAAGATAACAGTGTCTAAGTAATCCAAGATTACTGAGGGCCTGCTTTAACCAGCTGTCCTGTCTATCTACTGATTTAACTCCTACAATAATGCTGTGAGGTAGGTGGAAACATCCTCTTTTTATGGACAAGGAGACTGAGGCTCAGAGAGGTTAGGGTACTTGCCTAAGGTCACACAGCTCAAACTTGGCTGAGCTGGAATTAGATCTAAGATCTGTCTGCTCCCGCCATATCCTGTTCCATAGCTTGGTATTATTCTAGCAGTTTTGATTCTGGCCCAAGTTGCTCTGTCCTTAAGATACCCATTTACGTGGCCATAATTCAACATTATAAAGAAAAACCACTGAAAAAAAAATCACTGTGAAATCTTCTATTAAAATAGGATCATGACCAGTTAGAGAATTTCAAAGAACTGAGTCCTAACCCAAGTAACAATAAGCAGTACCTACATAATTTCATTATGTGGGCTATTCTAAACAGTTCCAGAAATGGTATACTACTGTTAGACAAAAAAATATTTATTTGGAACTCTCTCTTTGCCCTGGATACCCCAAGTATCTACACAGAAAGGATTTAAAATGCAGCATCTCAAACACATACTTTCCACAGTTGAGCTGACTCACAGCATCATCACATGTGTTTTCATCATCACAAGTGAGGTCTATCTTCTGTTGTGTATTTTGTAATTTATTCTACAGATGCCATTGTATCCTATATGTATTTCACCTAGGATTTTTAGAAATACTCCTTGCGGACAAATATTTAAATTCTTACTAAAAATTCTACCTTCAAAACTCTGAGATCTATCTCCTCCATGAAGGCCAGCTCCTGTGGCAATTTTAGCCTGTCTCCGACGAGGCTGCAAGCCCCAAGATAGAGTGACTTGCACTGCTTTGCTGTTGCATGAACCTCTCCTTCCTGGGTGATATGTTCTCTTTCTGTTTCCTCCACAACAGCACCCAATATAGGGATAAATACTTAGAAATTGCTCCAAGTTTCCTGTTGACTGCAATAAAAGTGGGTCTGGGGGATAAAAATCCCAGGACTTTTGGAGGGATGACTGCTTGAGCCCAGGAGTTGGAGGCTTTGATGAGCTCTGATCACACCAATGCACTCCAGCCCGGGCAACAGGGCGAGACCCGTGTCTTAAAAAAAAAATTAAATAAATAAAAATAAATAAAACAGAAAGAAAAGGGGAATTCTCAGTTTATCTGATGCTGTATGGAATTCTGGAAAAGATGAATTCCAGAATGTGGGCTATCCTGGGACGCAATGATCACTCATTCATTCATTCTGCCAAACACTACTGAGCACCTACAATGGGCATAGAGTTTTGCTACTCAGAGTGTGGTCGGAGGGCCAGCAGTCTCAGTTTCACCCAGGCTTCTGCCCTTTTCTTACACCTACTACATCGAAGGTGCATTTTAACAAGCCCCTGGGGCTATTCACGTATGAAAGTCTGAGAAGCACTGCTTTAGAGGTACCGTACAGAACACAACTTTATTTATAAAGCAGCAATCCCGATGTCCAGTCTAATGATGGGGAAGATACTAGGAGGTACTTTGAAATAATACAGGATGGGAGCCTCTCCATGGCCCAGGCATGCTGTGAGCTCCTGATGTGGGGAGCTCAATGGTACTCTAGGTCTAGGAGGCTGGGGGTGCGGGTGGCTGAGGTAGCCACAGTAACTGCCGTAGAGCAAATTCTAGCCTCAAGATGGAAGTAGAGGGGGTGTTCTTAATGCTCATAAATTCAGCAAACTGTACTCTGTAAAGGCTTTAGATGAAAAAGTTGTTTCTAGTGGTGGTCATCAAACTTCAGTGTGCAAGAGAATCATCTGGTGACCCTGATTGAAAAAGGAAAGAAACAAAGACACAAACAACAACGGACTCCAGGTGTCACTTCTAGACCTTCTCATTCAGGAGATGGAAAGCAGTGGCCTTCAACCTGGGTTGAACACTGAAGTCATCCTTGGAGCTTTAAAAGACAACGATGCCTGGGACCCATCCCAAGAGATCCCAATTCATCTGGTCTAGGGAGAGGTCTAAGCATTGGGATTTTAAACAATTCTCCAGGTAAATATAATGAACAACCAAGGTGGAGAACCATTCATCTCAAACAGAGGTGCTCAATGCAGCAGAGTGCCTGGGGGGCTTGTTCAAACATATTTCTGGGTCCTATTCCAGAGTGTCTGACTCAGTAGGTCTGGAGTCAGGCTTGAAACAGTTGCATTTCCATGTGATGCTAGTGGTGCTGGTTCTGGGGGCCACACTTTGAGGACTATTGGTATATAGGGAGAGGGTTGCGGCCCAAGATTGGCATTTTTAAACATGCAACTGAATGATTCTGAGGCCAGGTGTCTGAGCTCTACTCTCAGAAACAATGTTCTGTTTGGGCTAGGCAAACAGGTGAAGCCACAAAAGCTGTGCAATGTCAGGCTGGCATCAAGCGGTCCTCTGTGCTTCTCTCATTCAATGGCACTGATCTTTTCCTCCCATTCCTATCATCCAACCTAAGCACTCATTTCTAGATCCTTCTGCTGTCCTAAAGGGTGTGCGACTTCTTTCCCCAGAAAGGTAGAATTGTATAGTGGTCAAGAGGACAGATTCTGGACCCAGACTGCCTGGGGTGAGTCTCAGGTCTTAGCCCTCCAGGTTAAGTTGCTTACATTTTCCAGGCTTTAGCTTTCCCACCTGTAAAGTGCAGTATCTGCCTCAGAGAGCTGATTAAATGAAATAATATATGTGAAATGCCATGAACAGGGACTAGTGCATGGTAAGTACTATTTAAATGTTGGCTATTATCCCAAGTCCGCCCTCTTGGAAAGCAGATAACTCGACTTCCTTTGGGAAAGGTGAAGGTTTCATGAGCCTGCTGGCTGGAAGGGATATAGAGTTCTCTTTCTGTTACCCTAGCATTTGATGTACATCTCCACCATGGCACTATTTTGCTCTATTGTTTAATTTTCTCCCTTGATCCACAGATTGGTGAGATCTGTTCTGGGGACAAACTATGCCTTGCTCATTTTTGTACCCAGCATAGTGCTGGACACAACATTTGCTCTTAATAAATGTTGGTTGAACAACTGATGATGTGGCAAAATAATATTTTTGTTTTGCTGTTTTGGAAGTTGCTTAGAATTCTCTATTAATGAGAAGAAATGAGTCTCTAATACACAACTGGTCTGTTGAAAAATGGGGATAAAGGTTAGCATGCAAATGGTACAAGACAAGTCATCCTCTTCATACACCGCTCACTCCAAAGTCCACTGATGGTGAAGCCACAAGAAAAGCATGATGATGGGTGCATTTGTAAGACATTAAATATTCTTATAACAAACTGCCTGATTCCCCACTAAAACTGGCCAGATGCTTGCTAAATTGGTTTCCTCTTTTTCTTGGACATACATAGAACACATTTCCCAGCTGCCCTTGCACCAAGGTGGGTATATGTGACCAGGTCTTCCCAACAGAATTTCAGTAGATCTGATGTGTGTCACCTCCAGGCCAAGGGCCTTACGAGTATGTGTTCCTTCTCCAAGCTCCCTTTCTTTCCCTGGACACCAGCTGGACACAGAATATCCAGGGGATAACTCTCAGGCCCTAACAGTTGGTGGAACTCCAAAATGGGAGGAGGCTGGATCCCTGAATGATTGAGTGGAGCTGAGTTCTCCTACGCTGTCTCCCGTACCAACTCAAGCGAGAAATGAATTTTTATTATTTTAACTCACTGAATTTGGAAGGTATTACCTCACTTATCCTACTCCCAAAACACAGGAAACCAGAAGTCCCAACTTGGAGTTTTGAAATTTATTGGGGGAAGGGTTACTTTGAAGACCTGAGACATACCCGTTCGTGTGGATTCCCAAGGACCACTCCACTGGAAATATAAAACATAACACAGTTGCCTGGTCAAAGGAAGCAGCCGTATACATCTCTTTCACTACACTGATTTTCAGGATGAATTTTTACAGTAAAAAATACAAGCAAGTTTATTGGATAATTTCTTCATTTTTAGAAGTAAAACTGAAATTTGAGGGGTAGGGAAGGCAGAAAGAACCCCAAAGATCCTTAAAAAAATTCTCTCTTAAGATAATTGGCATAGTGATTATGATTTGATTTAAAATTATAATCTTTCCAGAAAAATGTGGCTGCTGGTGCCTCCTTCGGGCTTTTGCGGAACAGAGCCTTTGTGAGGTTTGCCTCACAGAAGACCAAAAGCCACATGCTCTAAGCAGGGCTTTGCTTGGCTCCATGTCCAAGGCATCATCCTCATTTATTCTTCCCACCAATTTTATATTACTGGGTGGTAAACTCACCATATTCTGGCTGCTCTTTGGTTTCAAAAGTCCGGTGGCCTGGGGCTGTATGGTCCCACCCCCTGGGGGGGTTGAGGAAGTTGCTGTCGTCTGAGGTACTGTCGTACTTGTAGTCCTGGTCCCCGCTGTTTGCCCTGGCCAAGGACAGGGACCTCTGCCACCAGGCCCGCCAGTCGGGGGATGGGACTGACCAGCTGGGCTTATTCTCCGGATGCTGATCTTTATCTGCTTCAGAGTCAGGACCGTCGACCACCTCTATGGTGACCTGAAGAATTCAGAACAGGCCAGGGTCAATGTGGAGTCAGTAGCCTCCAAGCTACGTGACCCTTGGAAGAAAGTCTGAGAGGGCAGAGGAAAATGATGGATGCATCCCTTGTGAAGGAAAGCTGAGACCGCATAGTGATACAAATGGAAAACCTCCAGGGATGGTCCACATGAATTCCACGACTAGATGTAATATGGCCTCGGGTTGAGAGGGGAAAATTCATCACTGGAGTCCCTGATTTACGGATGACTAAAAACTTAATAGCTGGAAACAATGACTGTTGGATTGCTGTGGGTTAGGAATTTGAGTAGAGCTGAGCCTGGAGAGTTTGTCTCTCCTCCATGTGGTATTGAGAAGCCCTTCATTCAGGAAGTAAACACGTCCTATATTTGTTCCTGAAGTGATACCAGAATAATCATAACAAAACATAACATTTATGAACACAAACTCTGTACCAGGCACTATCCTAAATACTCCACCTATATTATTTAATTCTTGTAAAGACCTCCCATCCATGTTTGCATGTGCCACATTTCCCACTGAGAGAGGTGGAGCCCATTTCTCCTCCCTGGCAATCTGTATTGGTCATGTGATTCACTCTGTCCAGCAGAATGGATGGGAGTGGATTGGTGACAGATCTTAGCAGAAGCCTTACAGCTTCCATTTTCATTCTCTTGGAATGTTCTAACCACTATGCAAGGAAGCCTAGCCTAGACCACTACGTGTGTAGAGACTATGTAAAGAGAGAAGTTGCATGGAGAAGAACCAAGGTCTCTCAGCCCATGTCTAGCTCTGAGGGCTCAGTCATGTGAGTAGGGCCATCGTGGATCTTCCAGCCTCAGTTGGGTCACTCTAGCCAACACCACATGGAGCAGAGACAAGCTCTCCCAGCTGAGTTCTAGTCAAATTCCTGACCAACAGCAATCCCGTGGTCATTGTCTCAAACTATTAAGTTTTGAGATGACTGCCAGATAATTTTTACAACCAGGGAAAACTGGTGCACAGAGACATCAACAACTTGCCTAAGGTCACAGGGCTAGTAAGTGGCAGACATGGGGAGTCTGGTTCTAGAGCCCATGCTCTCCCTAACTTTGTCACACTGTCTCTCAAAAAGTAAGTGACAAAGCTACTGTCCCCTCATGAGACCAAAGAAACAACAAGACCACAGGTGCAGGTGGGGGTTGGTTGCTTCAGGGTGTATAGAGACATAAGTACAAGCTCCTCAAGACCAGGCTTTCCCAGCTACGATTTTCACTCACCCCATGGTTTATCCCTAGACTGCACACTCCTCAACCAACCCTTAGGGTCAGAGCAGATAGTCCTGGAGCCCAAGCTAGAACTTGTTCTCAGATTTACAAAAGTCTCATTTTGAAGTCTGTCACGGGGCTGGAAGAATGAAGCTTCTTGGTTCCAAGAGACAATCAACGTAGAAAGACTTGTTTGAAAAACATAATAAAAGACGCACTGGGTTCCTTTAGCCATCACATAGCTCTTGCAACACCCCCTGGATGAGTTATGTGCAAATGAATCAGAAACATGCGCTCCAAGTAATCAACCCAAGATGTACTGGGCAGATGCATTTCCAGTTTTGCCCTAACCTGACGTCTGAGAGTTGCTGAGATGCTCTGCCAAATTGCACCGGGGTGTGCCCATCCCTGAGACAAATAGCCCCTTCCTTTTGTGTTAGGAATGGGGAGGTTTGAATTCTGTTCACTTCAAAGGATGTTGCCCAGCCAATGGGCCGGGGCTGTGGTTTTGTGGAGTCTGGACACATGATCAAGAGGGTGACTTTCAACCCCAGAGTCTACTCAGGTTGCAGCAGGCCAAGTGCACCTTTCTCCTCTGTCATGGGACACCTAGAAGGGCACTGCTAGCTTTACCCCATGCCACCACCCTTACTCCAGTCTTGTAGGCACCCTTTGCATATTTGTAAATAATTGTGGAGCTTTTCAGTAATCCCAAAAGTAAAAAACAAAAAACAAACAAACAAACAAACAAAAAACAAAAGGGGGAAAGAAAAGCAAAGGAATACATCATACATCTTGTATCATTGCTGTTTGCTGGAATGAATGGTCGTGGGAGAGTAATGGTAACAGGGACCCACACAGAAGCTTAGAAAGACAAGTGGAGAAGGAGCACACAGCTGGGTAGAGCCGAGCCAAGCTGGGCAGTGACAGGGCAATGCTGAGCCTTTGGAGACATAACCTTTCTTCTCTGCAGCCCCATCTCCCGCTGCCTGCAGACGGAACAACTGAGCTGCAACAATCGTCTGCAAGGCTAGTAAGGGTCTTGGAGGGGACAGGCTGCCAAGAGCCAGGCAAGCCTGCAATTATGGTAATGAAATCAGTCTCTGGGTAGGAGATAAGAGGGAATGTGCCCAACACTTTTGGTATTCCATTTGTATTCAGACTGGAGTCAAAGGGATTGCTTAAACAAAACGTGCCCTGCAATTTCTCCAAGCTGGGAATAAAAACAATTTCATGTTTCAAGCTATTACCGTCAATATGATTTTTTTCCCCCTCCAAACTGCTGTTCAGATCCAAACAAAATAGATTTGTTGCCTGGCCAGGCAATGAGTAGCAAAATATAAATTTACTCCAAAAGCTATATCAATGACTAAATCTCAACACTTAGAGGTTTATTTTTCCCTTTAATTGCTAGCCACTGCCTCAACTGAATTAAAACAAAAGCAAAACACAAAACAAACAAATCTTAGGATCCACCCTTCCCTACAGTTAACAAAGTGAAAACCTCATGCTGATATCAAAATAAGAAATCTAATCTTGAGCCTGAGGTTTTATAGGCATCCAATTTAAAAGACTTAATGAGTGTGATCAATGACTTCTCCAATGGCAAGGGCTCGTTTTATGTTTCCTATTGCTCTCATTCTATTTACACACATTTTAGCATCAAAGAATCCATTGATAAAGATGTCTTAAATAATGATCAGTGTGATGAACTGTAGGTGCGGAGTGAGCACAGATTTCCAAAGACTCTAGATCTTACCATCCTTTCTCATCTTTAACACACATAATTGAAGTGTCTTAGTATATTTTTTTCTTCTGGACTTTTCCACACTCAAGTCATGATGATAAAAGAAAGGGAACTCTTTCAAAAGCCGCAAGTTCAATTTCTGGCACAATCTCCCCAGCTCCAAGAAAGAGAGTCCAAAAGAAGTGATAACTTGGATAATTTTGTCTTAGGAAATGAGGAAAAGTTCCAATGCACCTTGATCAGCTTTCCTTCTCTTGAAAATGAATACATTGATTAGAAGGAAACTCTTGATTCTTGCTTGGAAATGCACTTTCCACAGGGAAACCCACACCACTCTTAGTCTAGCTGATAATAAACCAACACCACTGAGAATCCAGAGGCCATGCTCTTCAAACTCAGGAAAGCCTTCTTGCTTGTTGGTCCTCTAAGCCTTGTGAGCTGTGGAAAGTCGTGGGAATGGGCAGGTATTTTCCAGAGAGGAAAAGGATTTCCTCAGGAGCACAGAGCATCCAAGGACATGTCTCCAGCAATGGTTTTAAATCCAGATCATTCTACCCCTTCTTTCTCGACAACTGCCATGGAAAGAACACAAAATGGACTAGGAAGATATCTAATTTCCTCTTCTCAGACCTGCTGATGCTTTAAGAACAAGGTTGGCAACCGCAGCTAACTGTGGTTACTGCTTTGAGACTTGCAGCCTGTCAATCCAGGCATTACTGTCCCTTCTACACAACTTAGACCCAATTTTCAGGCACACAAACTGGCTTGGAGAATTCAACGTCCTGAGGTAAACAGCAAGGAAGGTATAGTGTTGGTCTCTGAACCAGTTCTTCTGATTCCCGATTATTCTTATCTATGTTTCCTCTGTCATCTTCATCTCCAATATCATCACCAACCAGCAGCTATCAGTTTTGGGAAGCTTATCCTATATTGGGCCCTGTGCTAAGTACTTCATATGGATGATCTCATTGAATCCTCACAGAAAATCACACTTATATGTAGTATTATACTACATAGTTACTCGTAGGTAGTACTGTCATTCCAATTTTATAGACAAGGAAACTGAGGCACAGAGAGGCCCAGTAAACCTGCATGGGGCTATAGAGGTCAAGTCTGGCTGACTAAATGGTGGTGCCTGATCCCAAACACAAGTCAATCTGCCTCCATATATTGACAGCAGTACCCCATGAGAATCTGAGCTGAACAGGCTTGTCTCTATAGGGGCATGGGTCCATGTCCTGGGCAGAGAAATTTTTTGATTCTTATCCAGCCAGACCTGCCATTCCTCTAAAAGTATTTTAGAGAAAAAGGAGGAGGCAAAATCAAAAGTAGAAGCACGTACAACGGTAACCCTGGCCAACTCATCTGATTGTATCTTGTGGCACTAAAGGGGCCTGTGGCCATGTAATATGTCTGTGCAAGGAAAAAAAGGCCTTTACGTAACTATTTTTAAGTCCCTCTTGATGGGAGAAAAGAAATAAGTATATTGATTGAAATGAATACTAATCTCAATTTGATCCAGAAAAGAGAGTATTTGGTTGTGAATAGCTAGTGTAGTAATGAACCGATGCAGTAAGCCTAATAATGCATTTATTTCAGAGATTTTTGTCTCTGATAACTGGCTATCAGCTGCAGACTGAAAACTCAGCCAAGGATACTAAAGTCTAACTTGTTCTGGGGGATTCACTTTCTTTCCCGAATGATTTTTGTTTTCAATAAAACCCAACCTCTTATATCGTTTGAAATTTCATATGGAGATTCAGTTTAGGAGTCTGAGGCCATTTATTTCTATTTTGTGCATTTTTTCCCTTCCTCACTTCCATAGCTTGAAGCCAGTCTTAAAATAGAATTGTCTGATTCACTTGGGACCGAGGCTGCCTGACTCCTGGGAGTTAAAATGCTCTACAGAAGCAGGTGTTGGGGCTTTTAGAAGGATTTCCTATCCTGAAAGTCAAGAGGCCCAGGGGGGACGTGGCCTCTTGCATGGGCTTAGCGATGTCACTTTGGAAAGGTGCAGGCTGTTTCCTTAGCCATGGAGCGTGGGAAACACTTCCAGAGCCTGAGGGGGTGGGGCGGTACGGAGGGCGGGTATCAAGTTCCCATTCAGCTCCCAGGCTCCAGCTAGGGAGAACCAGGTGGGGGCAAAGGCAGGTTGCCAGGGGAAGGGGCAGATGAGGCCAGAGGGCCTGGCAGCGGAAGCCGACCCACTGAAGGGCCCCTCACCTGACTTCACTCTGATACCCAGGGAGAGGGAATGCTTTGACGGGGCCCGCAGGGACCAGCAGGACTGTCTGCTGGGCTGAATCGGCCCTGTGTCAAACCAGTGGATTTCAACAAAAGAACAGTGCTCTGAGAAAGGGGTGAGAGCTGCCAACACGGAAACCATCACCTCCTTGTAGAAAGCACCTCGTGTTTTAAAGGACCACCAGGGAACTGGTTTACACAAGTGCAGTGGTGCATGAGGCAGCAGCGGCTAGTGCTGTGTGGTGTGTGGGTGTGTGTATGTGCATGCACACACAATTACATGCTGACAGAAGACTGGGGCTCCCAGGGCTAGCAGTTGTTTTATTCTTTCTTTGAACATCTTTCTGGGTGACCAATACTAACCTTTTGTGGTCTTCCAGAAACAGAAGACCAGAAATGCAGCACAATTTTATTCTCTTTAGGGCAAAAACGTCATCAGATCAATAAAATGCTGGCCACCCTCCCCCTCCCTCTGTATCACCAACAGAAAATTTACAGATAAGGATTGTATAGAGCAGAAATAGAATAACTTGACTGGGCAGTAGGCAGTGATTTCTGTGCATGGGTTGTCGACAGTGACCTCCACAACATTTTTTATGCTGTACCATCAACAGAGCCTGTCTGACTTCTTCCCACCTGTTGAGATGCACCCCCTTGGGACACAGTGCTTTTCCTCCTCTGTCTTCATGATCCCTCCAGCACTGTTTTATGTGGTAGCTGGGATCTTCACACCGATCTAATTTATTGGAGGGAACAGGGTTTACATTTTTCAATTTCCTATATAACCTAACGCAGCATTTTATATACAGTGGGGGTTGGTATTCTAATGAAGTGTTCTCAGTGAGATTTGCCTGCCCCCATGACACTGGTGTTAAGAGCAAAACAACTCAGGTCTACGAAACCTGATCTAAAACCGTATCACGCAGAGGGTGTTAGTCTGTGGAGAGAGAAGCAGTTAATGAAGGATCAACTGGTCTGAGTCCAAGTTCAGGAACTTTCTGCTATGTAAGCAAACTGGCATTTGGTCCAGAGAGGAAAAAGTATGGAAAAGGTGCCCCTATATAAATAGAAAGAATTGGAAGCAAAGCTTACAAGTATGGGCTGGCTATGGTGGCTCATACTTGCAATCCCAGGACTGTGGCAGGCCGAGGCAGGAGGATTGCTAGAGCCCAGGAGTTTGAGCCCAGCCTGGGCAATATGGCAAAATCCTGTTTCTACAAAAAAATTTAAAAATGAGCTGGATGTGGGGGCACACACTTGAAGTTCCAGCTACTCGGGAGGTTGAGGTGGGAGGATCACTTGAGCCTGGGAGGTAGGGGCTACAGTAACCTATGATTGTGCCGTTGTATTCTAGCCTGGGTGACTGAGTGAGGCCATCTTTAAAAAAAGTATGGAAGCAGTCATATGAGGTTAGGGGCTGGGTTGCTCGGGGGATGAGCCTCTCTCAACCATCATAGGGACCATCTTTGGGAGGAAACAGAGAAAGGTACAAACAACATGCAAAATTAGGAGTTTGTCTCTGAATGTGGGTTGAGAGTCTGAGAGCCTGGATTTGAACCCTACAACTACTATTTACTGCCATGTGACTTTGGGTAAACCAAACAGTAACTTCCTGAGTATCTGGTGCATTACTGATAGTATTAGAAAAATGACACGGGCTTTGTCTCCTTCATGAGGGTGTTGGGAGGGTCAAATCAGATCAACATTTGCTTTGTAAAGTATACTGAGCTATTTCAGTGTAGATGAAAGTTATTGTTTTTAACCCCAGTCACCCTTTCCTTAACCTTCCATTTCCTACTGCTTCATCAGATCCCATCTTAGTGGAAAATAGCCATCTCTCCCCTAGGAACTCCTATTCTCAACTTCCTTCCTCTTATTGTTTTGTAAGTCATGTATACTTTAGAGTAACGGAAGCTTGTCTCTTTGTGAAGGAATTTCTGGTGTCCAAGGCAAGTTAGAGGGGCATTAAGAGAAAGAGCTTTCCTGAGTGCTTTGAAATGTTTGAAATCATTTGCCCAATCTGTTCGCAGGTCAGATTGGCCTTTTCCTAAAACTGTCACATCATCAATTTTGTTTTGTTTTTATATTTCGGACTATTTTGTTTTGATTTGCTTTTATATTTCACTGTCTCTTAAATTAGTATGTATTTTGTAATCCTTGGTGTGTCGTACTTTAATTGATAGTGTTTTCTTCTTTTGAGTGGTTCACAAAATAATGGTGCATCTCACAATCATGGGTGTCGCTTAATGAAATGCAGCACTGTTCTTATGGAGATAACATGATCTTAAGCAGGAATCATTAAGGGTTTAAGAAGAAAAGTGAGGTAAGGCAGCAGTTTCCACTGGAATCATCAGAAAACAGAAGATGGACTGTTTTGTTATCTTCTATCTTCCATGTGCCAAGAATTACCTGGATATTTGGATTCTGCCCATTGATATCAGCTTTGGAAAGATCTGGAAAGTTTGGTAGATCAAGGAGAAAGGATCTGGGGCCATCTCTTTGCAATGAAGGGTGCCCCGTCTCTTGTCGGAATCGCTGTCTGGGGAAGGGTTGGTGCGCAGCCTGGTGGTCCAGACGCTCCCCTGGTTCTTCTTTGGAGAGAGAAAAGCTGGTTTCTGATGTGGACTCACTTCCCATGTTGAGGTTATTCTAAAACAAACAAACAAACAAGCAAACAAACACCTATTAAAGAGACACATGATTAAAAAATGTCACCCTTAACAGTTCATTATATTCAGGAGCAAGGACAATTCCAGCGGCTGAAATTAAGCCAGTAGGACATTCCAAACTCGTTTTGCAACCCCATGGTTTAGTTTCTTCATGTCTTAAAAGCCAGATCATCAGAAAACTTCTTCTAGCCTGCTACTTGGGAATTTTCTGAGGGTTAATGAATTATGGGCTACTTATTAAGCTTCAAAGTACTTTAAAAATGAAAACACTATATTGAAGGAGAATAGGTGCTATTTAAAGCTGGAACCAAATTATGTTTCTCTTCTCACAGCTTCAACTGATTAACCACCTTGGCTTTAGTTATAGTTCTAGTGTCCAGAGTTGCTTTCTTTTGTGTAGGCTGTGGAGCAAAAGATCTGACCAAGCTGGATAAAGTTCTTGGGCCATATTATTGATTACATACATTCATCCATTTGTCTGTCCATTTGTCCATCAACTCATTCATACATCCATTCACATATCCACCCACCCATCCATCCATCCATCCATCCATCCATCCATCCATCCATCCATCCATCCTTCCACCCACACACCCATCCATCCAATCAACAAATGCCAACCATGCTAGGCATAGGAGATACAGCAATAAACAGGATAGACATGAGACCTATTATTTTGAAATGTACAACTAGGTGAGGGAAATAAACAATAAGTACATAGATAAATAAATAAGATCAGATCACAGAATGGTGACTGCCAAGAAGAAAAGAAAGAAGATGATGGAGAGTGGCTGGGGAAAACCTTAGATAGCTGGTCAGGGAGAACCCCTCAGAGAAGGTGACACTTGAGGCAAGATCTGAACAAGAGAAGGTGGCACCCTGCAATAATCTGGGGGAAGGACATTTTAGCAAAGGGAACAGCAAAGGGAGCACTCAAGTCCAGGATGGGAATGAGTTTGGCTGGTTTGAGAAACAGAATGGCCAGCGAAGCTGTTGTAGAAGGAAGGAGGGAAGAACCATAGGTGATGAGGATGAAGAGACAGGGATAGTCAAAGAAAAAGTCATGAAAAGGCATTCTGAAATCTAATGATTTTATACTGAAAAGTGCAAGCCCATTGTTTTTCCCAGGTGTGAAAAATGTCTCCATTTCTTTATCACTATGGGGAAATTTCTCTAGTGATTGAAGAGTATAGAAGTTGCTGGACTCTTTTTCCAAACCAGCCTTTCTTTTTCTCCCCTCTCCTCTCACAAAAGATTTACTCCAGCCTTCAGGGATAGCATTTTCATGTTTACTGGTGGAGAGAGACAAGAAGATAGAATTTCACCAAGCTTTGGGTCAGTGGTTAATGTTCTTGTTATTCTTGGGCAAGTTTTGGGGTTTGGGAGTGTATGTTTCAGCACACTGTCTCCACACACCCTCTCTGCCCCCCACCACAGTGCCTCTGACCCAGCCAAAGGGTTGCATCTGGTATAAAAACACTCATGACTCTGAGCACCCAAGGTCAAGAGCACTTAGGCTGAAACACACTAGCAGATACATATCTTCTTGGAGAGCTAACCTTAGGGAAGGGATTATTATTTTTACTTTTATTTATGTGTCATTTTTTAGAGACAGGGTCTTGCTCTGTTGTCCAGGCTGGAGTGCAGTGGCACAGTCGAGCTCACTGCACCCTCAGACTCCTGGGCTCAAGCAATCCTTCCGCCTCAGCCTCCTGAGTAGCTGGGATTACAGGCATGTTCCATCATGCCCAGCTGTGAATGGATTTTTATATATCTGTTTAAATCGGAATGGGGCTGAGGAACAAACTCACTGGTGCAGAGACCACCTCTGAATGTTCGAAGAGGCCAAGGGGAGGGTGGAGATAGAGACCTCATCTATCACCTCTTTAAAACATGCAGTGATAGGGGAAAGCTGGCTGCTCTGCAGCATGTTTTTGCTCGCCTTTCCACAGCTCAGAAGATGTGGGCGGGGGCAGTGTCTTTGTTCACCTTTCCAGTCACCTCTCTGCCATGGTTTTCGTCTCCTGGCACATCCCGGTAGAGGGAGTTGCCCTGACATTTTGAGACATTACTCAATGCAACAGAGCCAAGTGTATTGTTGTTTGAGCCTAGCACAGAGAGAGAGAAAGAGAGAGAGAGAGAGAAGAGAAGAGAGAAAGAGAAGAGAAGGAGAGAGAAGAGGAGAGAAACGAAGGGAAGAGAAGAAAAGAGAAGAGGAGAGAAGAGAAGAGAGGAGAGAGAGCATGCTATCTTTTCTTAACATAAAAAAAAAAAAAAAAAAGGGACATCTCTATGACATCCCAAAGGGGAGATGGCTGAATGTATTTGTTCTCTTACTTTTTTCCCTTAATCTCCAACCCTAAAACTTCTCCAGCAACATTAGGGAGGACAGTTAGATTGTCATGGAGAATTCTTTGTGTAGGATTTAGGATTAAGAATCTTGAAAGGGGCCCAGAATTTGCTTCCCAATTACTTTAGTACTTCTTGTAAATCAAGCCCTAACTTCATTGCCACAATGGAGGTATACTGCTTAATTAGGTTAAAAATGAGGCTCTTTTTCCTTTCCCCTGCTCTTTCTACCATGACCACTTACATTTTAGAAGAAGTAAAAAATGTGTTTTTGCTACTCTTTAACATTTTGCCTAGATGTCTGAAAAAACAGGGACTAAGTTTGATTGATTGATTGATTGATGTGACTCTTGAATTTTTCCTGGTAGGAAATCCACCACCACAGAGTGCTTCTGGCTTAGCCCCAGACCAAGCAAACCCCTTAAACTTTCTAGGACTCAAGGACCTTGCATGTAAAGCAGATTAGATAATAAGAAGAGCCCTGTACCCTCCCCGCAGGATTAGTCAAGATACTTGGGTTAGGTTGTGTCTACACATGGAAAGAGAAGCGTCGCATTCGGGCCACTGGCTGGGCAGTTCAGGCCACAAATACCTCTGCCGGGAATAGTCAGACAACTGGGGCTGAAGTATGTTTTGGCTTCAGTTATGCACACAATTGTGGCATTTCTCTATCTCTCTGAACTTCCCTGCCCCCTAGACACAGGGTTGGTGTTTACAAAGTATTTGGAAGATGCTAAGTAATAAAGAAATGCTAGTCACAATCTCTGAACATCTGAGTTATTCTTGCACCTCTTCCAAAACATATTTAACTAGAAACCTTGCCTCCTTGCAATGGCATGCCCCCAAGCTGTTAAGAGACTGGAAATCCTAGGATAGGGGAAGTGTGGCTAAGGATGGCCCATATAGAATGAAACCCTGTTTTATTCAATCAATAACAAGATTTGAGAGTAGCCATTATTTTAGTCATCTAGACTTTAAATCTAGAGTAGGAGGCAACAGACAGAATATCCTAGAGTAATGCAGAAGAAAACCTTTCTTCATCTCTTCTCAAAGGGACATACTGCACATCCTCCTTGCAGAGCCCCCATTGGAGGTCCTGGTTGAGGACATCAGTCCAGCTATCACCAAGTTCACTCACTGAGTATTCCACTTGAATTATTCCAGCAGAGTAAAGATTTTCAACAGGGGTGGATGTCAAGGTTAAAAGTAAAATATTTTGTGTTTTATTCAGGCAAGCAAACATTCTTCTCTGAAAATGATATCTTAGGAAAGTCTGGGAATTTAAGGAAAGAAACATGACCATTCTTTCCAAAATGCTGTTGAATTCATTCTGCCCCAGTTAAAGTGATACAAGGGGGTCTGCTCATTTTGGGAAAATATTGCTTTACCCACAATGTGTCTTTGAGTTGAACCTCAATCTATGAGTTAACACTGACAATGTGTTAACATTGAGTTAACTATCTATGAGTTAACATTGACAATGCTGCAGTACCAGCAGCAATGTTTCCTCTTGTGACTATAATTTCAGAGCTGTGACTAGCAATGAGAAGGAAAACAGAAGAAATGCAGCTACTGAAGGCTTATGCACATGAACTGTTCAATTGCTGAGGCAGGTGATCTTCATTGGCCAAATTATTTAGCTACTGCTTGGTGCTCCTCTCCTTCTATTATTTTAGAACTTATCTAAAACAGGAATAGTAATAAAAATATCCTGTTCTTGCAGCCTAGTATTTTGCCTTATATGGCAGTACTGTGGCAGACATTGCAATTGCCTGCCCAATGTCTAGTCCCCTCTTTTTCCTACTTGGTGTTTGTTTCAGGTGGCTGTGGACCTGGCAAAAACTACATTTCCCAGCATGCACTGCATCTGGATGTGACACAATTCTGCCCCAAGAGGAGTAAGTGGAAGGTTCTGGACAGAACTGCTGAAAAGGAGTTTTCAGATTCGGTTTTACCATTTGCCTTTCTCTCTTCCACTTTGCCCTGCCTGAAATGAGGAAACAGGGCTTGATGTGAAATGAGACAGTGGCAGGCCTGAGGATGGAGGTTGTAGTCTAAGCGTGGCTGACTGGAAAGATGGTGGGCTTAGGTCCCTGATAGCATTATGGAGCTATTGCGCTGGTCCTGGAATGGTGACCTCCATATGTCTTTTACTGTTATCATTAATCTTAATGTTAACATTGACAATGCTGCAGTACCAGTAGCAATGTGCCCTCTTGGGATTTTAATTTTTGAGTTATGATGACCAGGAAAATTATAAACGTTTTGCCACTGAAAGTAATAGCAAAAACCAGCATTACTTTTGCACCAACCAAATGTTATCATGATTGCAAGAGGTTTTTCCTCACCAAAAGGAACCAGCATTCCTTGGACAAATGGGTTGAGTGCAGAGCTTGGGCGGGGAAGGCACAGATGAATTTGGGATACTTTCCTGCAACAAGAAGCAAGGAAGCTTTCAATGACTAACAGGGTACTCTTGAAAGAACACAGGAGCCAGCTTGACAGGCCCCCATTGCTCATAGATCAGAGAATTTGGACCAAAAAAAGAGATTGTACTTGACTAATGTACACTGAATCTATCAAAATTCATAAGGATACTCATGAAGGAGAGAAATCCAGAAAAATTACTGT